TTTTTTATGCCTACGTAGGTGGAGATCAGCATACATCTTCAGAGATTGCTGATGTGACGAAGAAGGAAGTTAAAACCCGTGAACAGACGGCTACCGAGAGACGTGCAGAAGGTAATCGTTGCTTTTTTTACTACTTTTTGAATTTTTTTGGGAAAATAAACTTGTTTTTAGATCCTTTAGTATTGTTTTCTCGACGAGTTACAGTTTTTCTCCTGACTTTAGTCTTTATTACTTTTTTCAATGAGAAGTGAATATATAGTAAATTGTGTAGAGAAATGCCTTTGCGTTCATTTAAGGTTATTTCATATTGAGATTTTTTTTTGTTTTAGCTCTAGAACAGTTGGATTTATCGTTGTTCAAGCCTGTGTACTCGAAAGGTAAAGAAGATCTAGTGACCACCAAGAACTACTTTACTGTATGTAGTTTTTCCTTCTTCGACCAGTTAACAATTAGTAATTTTCACTGTTGACATATACTAAAGTTATTCTTTAACGATTTCTAAGTTGTGGTTCCCTATTTTTTTGCAGAAACTTGCTCATCAGATACAAGATCCTGCAGTTCAGGAGACAGTATTGAAAAACGTGAGTTCGTTCAGGGGTGCCAAAATGCTTTTTGGGCAAGCGGTTAGTGATATCGTGAGGCAGCAAGGTACGGATCGGGGAAAGTCTCATTTAAATGTTTCGAATAGGGACAGTTGATAGAGTGGAAATTATTGTGTGAATTGTACAGAGGAACTATCTTTTTTCTTCGCTGACTATTGCTCAGTGTCACTGTTGCGCGCATAAATTTTGATCATTATGCAGTATAGCTGCATAGTCTTTTCTTGTTTTGTAATGTATTTGTACCTTATATCTTTCTTGTGTATTTGGTTCTTGCCTATGTCTGAATTATGGTGTCTCACGAGCTTAGAGGATTAGCGGTAGTTTTGTTGACGTTATTTGATACTGCTTTTTCCGTGGTTTACAGTTTTTTGCAATTCGAGGTGTACATGCTGGGGTAGTGGTTTCTTGCTCAATTGAATTTGGCAAGACATTGGCATTTTAACCTTAAAATCAACGGGTTTTTTACGAAGAGTCTCACGTGTTTTATTTTTAAAAAATTTTGATGTATTTGCTTGGTTTGATGTTACATACGGTTAGTTTACGAGGATTTCTAGAGAATTTATTTTTTTGCCTAGTTGCTTGTATTCGTGCTTTTTTTTATTTCGTTTTCTATTGCTGTTGAGGTGATCATTATTATGTCAGTGCCGCACTTTGTGTTGGATCTTATTTGAAATATTTGTTTACTTTAGAGTAGCGGATTTATGAATTTGCCTTTTAGTTTACTACACATAATTTTGCAGCTTGCGTGTTAGTTAGCTGTCCTATTTCTGCCCGGGTGTTTATTTCAACAGTATTTTTAAATCGGCGTTTGTATGATGTCACTTGTGTATTCCTTATGTTCTTTCAAAGACAGTGGTATAGAGGTGTCCGAAGATGTTTAAGAGAAGCGCTAATATTTCTCTCTTTCACTGTCGTCTTCAACTTGTAGACTGTTTTGAGGTGCATTTGTTGATGATGTTTACCGGTCATAAAATTTATTAACATGAGTCTTTGGGTTCAAGAGAACTTTTAAAGACGGTTGGTAGTGACTTTGCTCGTTTTTATGGAGGTGGGAAGGTATAGTAATGGGTGAAGTGAAAGGTTCACGCGTGGTAAGATATAAAATTTTAAAGTTTTCCGCCCTGTTCAGTCGGACAGGAACGTGGTATTTCATCACCAGAGGTTTCCGAATGCGAAGGGGAGCATTCGTGCATCCACGTAAATGATGGAGCCGTTACATATGTGTTTAACCGTAGCGGGGGTCAGCCATAGCTTTTCGCAGTATGTC